TGGCTTTGTCACAGAGCCAATGCAACATCAAACAGTCTGGCTGGTAAAGGCTGTTCAACTTGTCTCAAAGTATTCAGTCTTCTTGAAGAACTACAATATGGGTAAACATTAGGATAAACTTCTGCATTTCAGAACTTTGAATTTGCTGTTTTCAGATCTCATTTATATTCAGTTGCATGTTTTGGCTTCCTTGCTTGTAATGTAAATGTTTCTCAGTGTTAGGAAATAAGGAAAAAATAGTTATATGTTTTGATAATTCTTCTCCAGAGCTGCCTTTTCCTATTATACAAATCTCATTTCAAGGCAGAAAGGATATATTGTCACTGCAAAAGCAATATAAAACATGTATTTCAGGTACAACTCCATACATCTGAGTTTTCTGAAGGCTGGAAGTCATAACTTGAAGATAAGCAAACTGTACCAGACACCAGACAAGGAACTTGCTTACAGCTTGTCTTTGGACATTAGCACTTTCTTTGTTTTGTTCCCAGCTTCTTTGCCACAGTCCAGACAGGGATTCATGCCTTTCAGCTTACTGCCAGTTCCCCAGCAGTCTGCTGAGATGCCTTAGGAGCAGCCCCAACATTTAGAGGAGTAGCAAACAACACAGCCAGTGGGCACTGTCCTTACACCAATGGCAATTCCGCAACAACCCAAAGGAGATTAGGTTTTTCACACTCAGTTGATACTAGACATGCCCAGACTTCTCTGGCACAATAAATCTCATTACCACATATAGTTGTGCTTTTCTGATCATGCAAACTATATCAGTACCACATCTTTGAGGGGATAAATCCTATATGCTCTACCCAACTTTAATGTTTGTGACTAATACTTGTTAGATTATGCTTCTGGGTGAATGAGTTTGTTTTACATCTAATGGTCACAATTTTTTGTCTCCCAAGACAAAATAAACTGGAATAAAAAAAGACCTACTAGGTAGGAGGCAGCTGTTTCTGGGCATTGTGAAGCAGACCTGCTATACTTTCTCAGGCAACAGTCTCACTGAAGCTTGGATCAGCAGAGAACTCTTGGTCCCACAGTTGATGAGAACTGATATGTTTTTCAAAACCTTGAGATTCTGGTAGGACATACTGCTTACTTTGGTTAAGGAAATAGAAAATGAGTAAGTTAAATAGCAGCTGTTTTCAATTGCAAATTTAGGCTTCTGATGTGGTAGTAAAGCATTTATAAAAGTGGTACATTACTAAAAACTGTCATTAACTGTATTTTTTTTTTGGTCGAACTAGTTGGCCTTCCTAGATGCTAAATGTGGATGCCACTTAAATGAGCTGTCTGTTCTTATTTCAGTCTAGGAGTTCATGGAGTTATGACAATAAGCAATAAAAAAATATTTGTGTCCCCTCCCAGCACAGGGTGGGTACAGCTCAGTGCGTGTTACCAGTAGCACCAGGATGCTCAGAGATCAGTTGGTC